TTGAAAAGTTAAACAATATAGACGGGGTTGGAGAAATGGCTCAGCAGTTAAGAAAACTGGTTGTTCTTGCAGAAGACCCTGGTTCAAATCCCAGCACCCACATGGCAGCTAACAACTGTCCTAACTCCACTTCCAGGGGATCTGACAGCTTCTTCTGTCCTCCACGGGCACTGCATAACATGGGTGTACGTACCTACATGTAGGCAATACACACACACACATAAAATAAAAATAATAAATAAAATATTTTTAAAAATATAGACAGACCCTTTGACCAGTTAATCAAAATAGAAAGCAAATCGAAATTAACAGAATCAGAGATGAAAAGGGAAATATCACAACAGACATCAAAAAAATCCAGAATATTATAAGGGATTTTGTTTTGGTCTTTTTGAGACAGGGTCTCCCTGTAGCCCCAGCTGGCCTAGAACTCACTATGTAGATCAGGTTAGCCTCGAACTCTTAGAGATCCACCTGCCTCTGCCTCCCAGGGAATACTTTTAAAACCTATACTCTATTAAATTTGAAAATCTCAAAGAAATGGATAAATTTCTAAATTCATGGAAACCACCAAAGTTAAACCCAGAAGAGAGCAGCAGTTTAAACAGACCCAAAACAAATAAGTAAATTGAAACAGTAACATAACACCTCCTGACTTAAAAAGGCCCAGGCTCAGATGGAGTCACAGCAGAATTCTACAAGACATTCAAAGATCTACAACAAATACTACTTAAATTATTCAAAAAAGATAGAAACAGAGGGAGAACTCCTATGAAGCCAGTGTTACTCTAATTACAAAACCAAGCAAAGCTACAACAACAACCAAAAAAACTATACGGCCATATCCTTAATGAACAAAGATGCAAAGATTATCAATGAAATACTTGAAAACTGCATAGAGACACACCTCAAAAAGATCATCCACCATGATCAAGTCAGCTTTATTCCAGAGATGCAGAGATGGTTCAATATACATAAGTCAACAAATGTAATAAATCACGTAAATGGACTTAAAGACAAAAACCACATGGTCATTTCAATTGATGCAGAAAAGGCCTTTAACAAAATACAATATGCATTCATCTTCAAAGTCCTCAAGGGAACTGGACTGGAGGAAATATACCTCAACATAATTAAAGCTATATATAACAAACCCACAGCCAACATCATTCTAAATGGAGAAAAAACTGGAAGCATTCCCATTGAAATCAGGAACCAGACAAGAATGTCCACTATCTCCACTCCTTTTCAATATAGGCTTGAAACTCTTGCTAGAGCAATTACACAAGAGAAGGAAATTAAAGGAATAATAATTTGAAAAAAAGAGGTCAGCTTATCACTATTTGCAGACAATATATTATATAAAAGAAATCCCAAAAATTCCCTCAGAAAACTGTTAGAAATCATTAATGCTTTCAATAAGTGGCAGGTTACAAAATTAATTTACAAAAAGCAGTAACCTTCCTAAATAGCAATAACAACCAATTAGAAAAAATCATTCAAGGGAACCCTCCCATTTACAGTAGCCTCAAAAAATAAAATAGGAATAAATCTAACTAAAGACATCAAAGATCTCTACAATGAAAAATTTTAAACTTTTAAAGAGATAGAGGAAGACAGCAGGAGATGGAAGGGCCTACTGTGTTCATGAATTGGTAGAATTAATATTGTGAAAATGATCATTTTACCAAAAGCAATCTATAGATTCAATGCAATGCCAATCAAAATCCCCATGACATCCTTCACAGAGCTAGAAAAAAAAATCCTAAAATTCATATGTAATCACAAAAGACCCCCAGATAGCTAAAGTAATCTTGGGCAAAAAGAACAATGCTAGAGGAATCATCATACCAGATCTCAGATTATATTACAGAACTATTGTCATAGAAACAGCATGGTATTGGCACAAAACAGGTGATCAATGGAACACAATAGCAGACCCAAACATGAGTGCATGCAATTTCAGCCACCTGCTACTTCACAAAGGTGCCAAGAACACACAATGGAGGGAAGATAGCATCTTCAACAAATGGTGCTGACAAAACTGGCTCTCCCACCTGTAGAAGAGTGAAATTGAACCCTTATCTTTACCCTGCATAAAAATCAACTCCAAATGGATCAAAAACTTCAATATAATCCAAGTGTTGTGGCACACACCTTTAATCCCAGCATTTAGGAAGTGGAGGCAGGTAGATTTCTATGAGTTCAAGGGCACCCTGGTCTACATAGTAAGTTCCAGGACAGCTGGGGCTATAGAGAGACCCTGTCTCAAAAATTTAAAAACTCGATATAAAACCTGAAACCCTGAAACTGCTAGAAGAAAACACAGGCAAGTACACTATAAGATATAGGTGTAGGAAAGGACTTTCTAAATCAGACATCAGTTGCTCAGGTATTAAGATCAACAATCTACAAGTGGGACTTCATTAAGCTAGAAAGTTTCTGTACAACAAAAGAAACAACCAACAAAGTGAAGAGGAAACCCACTAAGTGGAAGAAAATCTTCACCTGCTATACATCCAACAGAGGATTACTATCCAGAATATACAAAGAACTCAAAATACAAAGAAACAAGAAAATAAATTACCCAATAAAAAGATGGGCTAAGAACTTGAAAAGATTTCTCAAACGAAGAAATAAAAATGTCTAAGAAACACCTTTAAAGGTGCTAAACACTCTTAGTCATTAAAGAACTGCAGACCAAAACCACTTTAAGATTTCATCCTGCCGGGTGTGGTGGCGTACGCCTTTAAGCCCACCATTTGGGAGGCCAAGGCAGGGATCTCTGTGAATTCAAGGCCAGCCTGGTCTACATAGTGAGTTCCAGGACAGCTGGGGCTACAAGGAGACCCTGTCTCAAAAAGAAAAAAAAATCCATCTTACCCCAGTCAGACTGGCTGAGATCAAGAGAACAAAAGACTGAAAATGCTGGAGAGGATGCGGAGAACAGGAACACTCATTCACTGCTGGTGGGAATGCAACTCATGCAACCACTATAGAAAGCAGTGTAGAGACTCATAAAAAACTAAAAATGAACCTACCATATGACCTGGTTATACCACTCCTTGGCATACACCCAAAGGACTCATCCTACTGTAAAGACACCTGTACATCCATGTTTGTTGCTGCTCTTTTTACAATAGCTAAGAAGATGGAAACAACCTAAATGTCCCTCAACTGATGAGTGGATAATGAAAATGTGGTTCATTTACACAATGGAGTTCTACTCAGTGGTAAGAAAAGATGAAATTATGAAATTTTCAGGTAAGTGGAGTAACACAAACTCTGAAAAGAAAGTGATATATGTTCTCCCTCTTTTGCAGATCATAGCACTAATTCCTTATATGTGAGTGTATATCCTGGTGTGACAGCAGGAGCCTGGAAAATAGAAAGGAAGCACAGAGGTAAAAGGAAAGAAAGAGTTCAAAATAGGGGGATAATAGGAAACCGATGTTACTGAGAGGGAAATGGAGAAATGGGGGTGTTCAACTGCGAAGGGAGATACAAGGAAAGGATATACAAGGGACCCTGAGGGTAAAGGAGAACGAACTCAAGAGAGGAGGGATAAATAGAAACAGGTATTATCAAGGAGAAAATGGAGGCACTTAAACTGGGGAAGGCGGAGGGTGGTTAGACGAGGGGAGAGAAGAGAGATAAATAAAGCTTAGGTGGCCTAAAAAAAAAAGAAGAAGCCAAGCGTGGTAGCACATACCTTTAATCCCAGCAATCAGGAGGCAGACGCAGGCAGATCTCTGTTGGTTCAAGGCCAACCTGGTTGGTCTACATGGAGCGTTCCAGGCCAGCTGGGACTACAGGGAAATCCTGTCTCACAAAAAGGAAAAAAAAAAAAAAAAAGAAAGAAAGAGAAGAAAAGCCAGAGGGAAATGTATCAATTCAAAAGCCTCCTGAAAAATACACATACACTATCTGAACCTAAGTCCATGTATATATCCGAAGGCTATTTAATAAGAAACACGGTGCCAGACAGGAGAAACCTCCCTTCAAAGTTGTTGGTCACGAAAGTCCAAGAGACTCCCAAAATAACACGGGCTATTGCCACAGCCGTCGATTACCTCCCAGAACTTGAAAGTAAGACCCTGTTGCTGAAGACAGGACATACTTTGGACACAGTACTTGGAGCAAGGAAACTAGAACTGACTGGAAGGCTTCTCCCTGAAGGATAGTTCTCACAGTTCCAGAGGACATTATGCAAGCTGCTGAGGGAGAAAAATCAATCAATGAACGGTTCAACCCAGCTCTAAAGCCTAATAACCACAGCAACTGGCACAGCAAACTACCTCTATTGGTACAGTAGTGGCTCTTTTATATAGGGGTAGTCAATAGTTACCTAATTAGACTTAAAACCCTCTCAATGGGAGGGAACTCATGGGTGCTGGGAATCCAAATTCAGATTCTCATGTTGCAAGGCAGGAACTTTACAGACAGAGCCATTTCCCCAGCCCTGTCAGGTCATCCCTTTCTACTGGAAAGCTAAATGTACAAATTCAGAAATGCAGAGGCTGTGTTGCCACTGAGAGACAGGCCCGAGCCAGTTCAGTTTGCACCCAAAGTGGGCATATCAACGTGGCAAGCAGATTCCTTAAACCTGGAATTTGAAGCAAATTCATGGGTTTCACATGAGCAATAACACATGGGGAAGGTGAGTGTGTCACTTGACTATTACTAAGTTCTGACAAGTACATCAACCGCATGGACACTTCCTGTTCTCAATGCCAGGACGGTGTTGTTGGGTTCATCTCCCTGATGAACAGCACCGTGGGGTGAGTTTAGGTGGGGTAGTCTCAGCTGTGTGCATCTGGCCCAGGGAAGAGGTGAGTGGAGTTCAGACTGAGAGTCGGCCCACCTGAGGCTTGTTTCAGTCAGAACCTGATGGGCTGAGGGTGGAAATCCCCCCAAACGCTGCCCTCATTGGCCAAGGCTTTAAATTTAGAGCAAGTGGGAGGAGAGAAAGGAGACTGAACGTGGCTCAGCCAGGTGAGATGGAGATCCATTTGCCTGAAGTGCCCCTTGAGGGAATCTTCAGCTATCTGGACGGCTTCAGCTTGCTCCAGGCTGCCCAAGTGAACAAGGTAAAGACTCTCACGGTCCCCTTCTCACGGTCCTCTGCTGTCTAATTGACCAGCTCCTTGCCGGCACTCCTCCACTTGTATGTTCCTACGTGAGGCCCTTTTGGTCTTTCATCCTCAGCCGTGGAGTCTCGGCTCCTCCAGCCTCACACCACACAGCCTTCCTTCATCCCTGCCTACATTTACCTTATTCAAACCTATCCATCCAGCGCAGACACACTAGCATTTCTGGGCCAGAGTCACTTTTCTTGACCAAGGGGAACACCAATCTGCAGAGTATCACAGTGGTACATGAGGGTATGGGTTAGCACCATGCACTCTGAGATCATCAAATTCTGTGAAATAGGCCATTTGTGGTAATGTATGCTTGTGATCTAAGCACTTGTAAAGTAGAAGCAAGGGAATCAGTATTGCAAGGTTATAGTGAGGTTATATGAGGCTAGCCTGTGCTACATGAGGCCTTACCTCAAAAGAGTAACAACATCAATAAAATTCTGCTAAATGAAAATGACAAGCTGATAGATGTGAGTTGTGCTGCCCAAGTTGTATTTGAGGCTCCCATTTGAAGCCTGTGGAAATGGAAGCCTCAAATACAAGAGCTCCTTCCTCTGCCCTCTCACAGGATGGCAGCTTCCCTGCATCAGCAGGAATAGGTCTCTCAGGCTAGCTGGGTCTTGAGAGCTGGGGTTGTGCTTGATGAACCTGTTGGGTCCAGCCCAGAACAAATGAGAGCAAGGAGAAGCCCGTTTTGAGTATTGCTTGCTGGCTTGACTCCTTTCTCTCCCATAGAGCTGGAATGTGGTCGCAGACAGGGAGAGCCTGTGGAGGTAAGGAAAGGGGCAGGGTGAGGAGGGAAGGGCAGGGCGGGCCATCTCATTGTGCACCTGCACCTGTGGTGTGGGGATGCACCCGGGAAGGTCCGCCTGAGGAAAGGTTCTTGCAAACAGTGGCTGAGAGCGAACTGAGGAGGAGGTGAACTGACAGGTCAGCCTGATGGGTCTGTGACTTCCTTGCAGGAGGCTGTGTCTGAGGAAATGGTACTTTGGTGACATCACCCGGGAGCACCTGTGCAAACAGCTGTGGCAGCAGCTGGGCACGCAGACCTGGAAGCAGTTCTTCCTCCGCCGAACAAGGCAAGAACGCTGCATGCAATGGGCTCGGCCAGAAGACTTCATCTACAGAGAAATAGCTGGGGACTACGGTATGGAGCCCAGAGCAGGAGATGCCTACTGTTTTCCCCCTTGTATACAGTCCTGTGTTCTTATTGAATGAAGGGATGGGAAATTAAAATTTAAAGGCTCTATTTACTGTGGAAGCCATGGATCTGACCCTGATTCTCCTCCATGCTCTGCTGAATGGAGGAACCCATGAGATCTCTTCACAGCATAAAGCACTCTTTCCCAACTCTTCCTGTAATAGGAACATGGGAAAATTTTATTGAGGAAATTCCTAAATAGCATAGGCTCTAAGATTTAATTTATCCCAAAATTTCCTTTAATAATTTGAACAGTTTCTCATGAGGATATCCTTTTCTAAAAATGTTATTATTATCATTATTATAGTTGTGTGTTGGAGATGTGTGTTATGTTAGTGTGAGGACAGGCACAAGCATGCCATAGCATGTGTCAGGGAGACAGAGGACACCTTGGTGGAATTGATTCTCCTAACAGAAACATTCTTGCATCGTTTCTTCCAGAGGAAGGGTGTCATGAATCCCAAAATGGCCATGAACTCCCCATGTAGCAACCTTACGGAGTCTAGGAGTTCACCCTAGGGCCCCATGCTAAGCAAACACTCTCCCACCTGAGCTTGGCCTTATCCCTCTAAATCCATTTTACAGCTATAGAAACAGATTAAAGGGGGAAAACCATGCCCAACCACATAGCCAAGCTACAGCTACATGGCTGACTCTCCATCCTGCCCACAGTTGTTATCTAGACCCTTCTACAGGGGACATGAAAGATAAAACATTTATTTCATTTCAATCACCCCTCAAATATCTAGTAACTATGAATTGTTGGAGTTTCTTTGCAGGAGACTTTAGACATGTAAAATATCTCTCAGGAAGTGGCCTCACCATGGATGGACAAGGGAAGTCAATCCTTTGCACGGTGTCTGACAAGGGCACGCTTTCTACCTGGGATGTGCAAGAGGTAAGTACCAGAAGTTCCAGGAACCTCTGTCCATCCTGTGAGATGTGAAAGAGCAGTGAGAGGGAAAGGATGCTTGGGATCAGTAAAAGAAGCAAAGTTTCAAAACAGGTGAAACTGTCATTAGTGACTTTTCCACTTAGACTCTAGACATGGAATTTGCTTTTAATATAGTAATTAACACAGTAATCATACAAAACCATGGGATTGACTGTGATACTTTCATAAAGGTCTCTAGCTCCATCCATTTCCTGCAGATTGCCTGGTTGCATCTGCCCTTATGACTGACCACATTCCCCCACTGTGTATACACCATGTTTTCTTTGTCCATTCACCTGCTGATTCTATACATTCGCTGTTGTGAACAGAGCGTGGATAAATATGAGTATGCAGTTACCTCTTTTTTAATATTGTATTTATTTTTATTTTTTAATGTATGTGAGTTGCCTGCATGTATGTAAGTGCACCATGTTGTGCAGTGCCTACAGAGGTCAGAATTGGGCTTCAGATCCCCTGGAACTGGAGTTCTGGGCAGTTGTTAGCCATCATGTGGGTGCTGGGAATGGAACCCAGACCCTCTACAAGAGCACCCAGTGCTTTAAACTGCTGAGCCATCTCTCCAGCCGCCAGTTATCACTTCTTATATTGTCATTATTTCCTTAAGAAATACACCGAGGAGGGTATAGCTGGGTACAGGATAGCTCTATTTTTAGCTTTTGGGGGCATCTCATAGTGATTTCCATAGTGGCTATACCTGTCTATATTCCCAATAAAGTTTGTGAGCATTCTATCTCCACATCGTCAACCATATTTATTTTGTTTTCTGCCTTTTTTGTTTATACCCATTCTAACCAAAGTGAGGTAGCATTACATTGTCCAATTGTTTTGTTTTTCCCTAGTGGTTAATGATTTGAGCATGCTTCATGTATTAATCGGTCACTAATTTTCTTCTTTTTTAGAAGTATCTATTGAGACATTTGCCCATTATTAATTGATTACTTGGTTTTTGTTTGGCTTTTGGGGGGTTTTTTGTTGTTGTTGTTTTGTTTTTTGTGAGATAGATTCTTATGTCACCCTGGCTGGTATCAAACTTGCTATATAACTGAGAATGACCTTCAATTCCTGATCCTCTCACGTCCACATCCTTAACATTGGGATTAAAGGCATATGCCACCAGCCCTGGCTGGTTGTTGTGAGTTCTTCATGTACTCTAGAATGAGCCCTCAGTCAGGTAAAGAGCCAGCACACACACACGTTCTCCATTTTATCGGCTCATCTCTCCACTCTGTTCCTTGTTTCCCCTGCTGTGTGGAACCTTTCAGTGTGATGGAATCCCCACTTGCCAGTTTTTTTTTTTGCTTCCATACCTCTGGAATTCTATCTGGGAAGTCACTCCTGAGCCAATATCCTGCAGTATTTCCCCCACGTTTCCTATATCCTTTCAGAGCTTCAGGTCTTACATTAAGGTCCAATATCATTTGTACGTGATTTTTTTACATGGTGAAGAAGAAGTTACAGCCTTCCACATTTTGATAATTCAGTTTCCCATCTCATTTGTCTATAGATGCCTTGAGTTATTTCTGGGTTTCCTGTTACATTACAATGGACTATGTATCTGATTTTACGTCAGTGAAAACAGGAGGCATGTCTTGAAATCAGGTGTGATGTCTCCAGTTCTGTGCTTTTCACACAACATTGCTTTGAAGAGTGAGAGTCTTTTGTGTTTCTTGGGGTGACACTCTTCCTGGGCAGACATGAACCAATGTCTGCTCACTTCAGATAGGTAACCAATGACAGACCACGGTAAGGATGCTCCCAAAGTCCACCTTGGCAAACCAGTGTGTTTTTATTGGGGTTACTCACAGGAGTGTGTCAGGTTATTTACAGGAACAGGAATGGCCCAAAAGGAGCTGCAACACTAGACCCCACCCCAACATAGGGGCTGGCACATGGCAGCTGGAAACCTGGAGCCTACTGTATAATTTGAAGGAAATGCAACTGTCAGTGACTCTTCCAGACCCTGGGCTGGCCTGTTTTCCAGGCAGCTTGGCTGATCTGTCTCTCAGCAATCCTTCCTATTTATAGAACCTGGGGAAAGGGTGGTGTAGTGCATCTGGTCAGTTTCAGGGACTTTCTGAGGCTTGAGATATTTACTTGCAGAGTTTTAAGGAGCCTCCGTCTTGAACTTTCTGAGTCGTGCATTTCTCTGCAGACTCACATTTGACCTCTCTTTAGAACATTCTCAGTCTTAATGAATTTTCTTCCAAGGTGGAATGCTTTTTTTTCTTTTTTTTAAATTAAATTTTGTTGTATTTTATACAGAATATTTCAAACAATCTGAATTATCTTTATAGCCCTGTCCCCACCAGCACCCTCCTGTAACCCCACACACACGCACACTGAAACCCATATGCTCTGACCTGGGTATTAAGGCCCACTGTGTCAATTCAGTGTCCCCAGACATTCCCCAGTGCAAGTCAATTCACTTGCAGGTTAGTCAAATCCCTCTCCAATATCTATCCAAACACCTATCATATTCTTTTTTTAACAGAGCATAGGGTGGGGGGTTATTTACAGAGGAGTTGGGTGCCCCCCATTTACAGCTGTACTGGAAAGTCCACACTCAAATATGGATCTTGTGACTTTCCGACAGCAGCAGAAAATGGAGCAAGAGTTGCCTCCTGGCATTCTAGGCTTGTATGTCCTTAGCCCCTCCCCCACATGCAGCTAAGGTCAACTGACTGAGTGGGATTGAGTGGGAGAAGTAACCGACTCCCCCTCCACTCTTTGATGAGCATGGGAAGGAGGTGTGACTATGGCTTACCAGCATAGTGGTCAGAGTACACTTCCAGTTAACACTCAACCCCTTCCTCCGGCTCTTACATTTTTCCCATCAACCTCTTCCTCAAAAGTCCCTGAGCCTTGGAGGGGGTGGTAGGTGTGGGATGATCTTCTTCCTATTGTGGCAAGACACTGAGCTTTCGGGTCTCTGCATCATCAGTTTTCCGTGGGCTGCTGGCCCATTTCAGTGGGAAGATGGAATGCTTTTTAATTTGGAGAAAATTTCTCCACTACAGTTTCCATATAATTTTTAGGATTGCATTTTTAATTCTCTGAAAAATGTCCTTGATATTTTGCTGGGTATTGGATCATATCTGGAGAGCACTTTGGGTAGTGTGAACATTTGAACAATATAAATGTTTTTCAATCCATACACATGTTCTAGTGTCTTCAGTTTCTTCAGTGTTTTCTCATTTTGATTGTAAAGGCCTGTGTGTGTGTGTGTGTGTGTGTGTGTGTGTGTGTGTGTGGTGTATGTGTGTGGCGTATGTGTGTAGTGCATGTGAGTCTCTGGATGTGCAGATTCCAGAAGAGGATATAGGTGTCTTCCTCTGCTGCTGTCTACCTTCCTGCCTGGAGAGAGATGACAGAATCTCTCACAAAACCAAAAGCTTGCCTTTTCTAATCACAGCAAGTTCTTGAGATCTGCCTGTCTCTTTTTCCATTGGGGTAACAGACAAATGCAGCCACGCTCAGCTTTTTATTTGTATGCTAGGGATTTGAGCTCAGGTCTTAACAGATGTAAAAAAAAAAAGCCCTTTACCCACTGAGCCATCTTTCCAGCCCCCATTGTAAAGGCTTTTCATTTTCTTAAATTTATTCTTAGGGGTTTGGGTGTATTTGATTATTTTTACCCTCATGGTTCCTTTCTTGGCTTATTCATTATTGACGTATGGAAAAGCTACAGATTCTGCATGATAATTTTTCATCCTGCTAATTAATGGAATTTGTTGATTAGTTCTAACAGTCTTTACATGTTTCTAAGTACAGAATCAAATCATCTGTACCAAAGACAGTTTGATCTTTCATTCCTGTTTACATGTGTTCTTGTTCTTTCTCTTGCCTACTTGCTCTAGCTAAGATGTCTAATAATCTATTGAATAAGAGCAGTGAGAGTGGACACCCTGATCTTGTTCCTGATCTTAGAGGAGTGTGTATAGTTTCCCCGACTCAGTGATGTTAGGCACAGCTTTGTCAAATTTGGCCTTTATTATGCTGATGCTGATCCTTCTATACCTAATGTGCTCAGGGCTTTTATCATGAAGGGATATTGAACTTTTCACATGTTTTTATGCATTTATTTGAAGATTATATGATTTTTATTTTTCCATCTATTTACGGGACACATTGTTTATTGATTTGCATTTGTCAAACCATCTTTGTATCATGGGAATTAAAGCAACATGACACTGGTTCCTGATATTTCTAATCTGCTGTCAAATTTAATTTGCAGTTTCAGTGGCATTTTTGCATCCATGTTCCTCTGGGACATTTGTTTATACTGTTTTTTGTTTGTTTGTTTGTTTTGTTGGTTTTTGGTTGTGCCTTTGTCAGGCTTGTTTTTGTTTTGGGGGATTTTTTTTTCTTTTTTTTTGAGAGCAAACCCTACTGGTTAGCCCTGGCTGTCTTAGAATTTGCTATGTAGACCAGGCTGGCCTGGCTCTCACAGGGATCTGGCTGCCTCCACCTCCCAAGTGCTGGGATCAAAGGCCTGCGCCACCTCGCCTGGCTTCCCTTGTCAGGTTTTTCATATCCAGGTAATCATGGCTTCAGGGAATGAGTTCAGAAGGTTTTCATCCCTTTCAATTCTATGGTACAATACTGGTATTTGTTCTTTAAATTTTTGGTAAAATGTAGGGGCTGGAGAGATGGCTCAGCGGCAAAGAACACTGTTCTTGCAGAAGACCCGGGTTCGAATACCCACATGGCAGCTAACAACTGTCCTAACTCCAGTTCCAGGGTATCCGCCAGCCTCTTCTGTCCTCCTCAGGCATTGCACAACAACGGGTGCACTTACCTACATGCAGGCATAGCACTCATATACATAAAATAAAAATAATAGATAAAATATTTGTTTAAAATTTTTTGGTAAAATGTAATTGCGAAACCATCTAGTGCTAGATTTATTTTTTTTTTTTGGAAGACTATTTTTAGGAGGAGAG